CTCAGAATTGAAGAGGAGCTGGGCAGCAAGGCCAAGTTTGCTGGCCAGAAGTTCAGAAATCCCCTCGCCAAATAAGCTGGGCAGGCAGACCTCTGGTAGCCCCTCCCCCGAGCCTGTCGTTGTTCTCGCCGCTTCATTAGAGCTGCCCCCTCAGCCAAGCCAGACCATCTGGACGCCTGTTGGAAACCCCAGCTTTGTGATCCTGTGACAGCCCAACTCCTCACCCTTCTCTCAAGCTTCCCACCAAGTGTCCCAGTGGCATCCCAAGGTGTCAACAGGCAGTGGTTTTGTTTGCAAAATAAACATCAGTGACCCTTGGAAAAAAAAAAAAAAAGCAAATCATAAAGAAAAATTCTTGTAGTATATGACAGCTAAAGGTTAATAGCTTTAATATAGAAAGAATATTGTATGATAATACACAAAAATATTAGTTATGTGAACAGTCCTTTTATAGTCTTGAATTATTATTTAATATGTTATTACAGTTGAAGATGAACTAATATTTTGTTTTTACTTCTTTAGCAAAAACAAATTACTTATTCACCAGGAGTCTGTAGCATACAGCATCAGCAAGAGATAAACAAACTAAAGACTGATTTGGAAAAGAAAAGCGTATTTTATGAAGAAGAATTATCTAAAAGAGAAGGAATGCATGCAAATGAAATGAAAAATCTGAAGAAAGAACTGCATGATTCAGAAGGTCAGCAACTTGCTTTGAACAAAGAAATTATGGTTTTGAAAGACAAATTGGAAAAGACCAGGAGAGAGAGGTAAGAATAAAGCTGTTTCATAAACATTTCATACTTATGAGTACCCGTTATGTGTAAGGTACTGGAGATACTTAGAAAGTAAAACACATCTCAGCCAGCAAGAAGACCAAAGTCAATATTAGTAAATAGGAGATTATAAAGCAATTTTATTATGACAAGGAGGCAAATTATTATGATAGGAAGGCAAATAATTTTAGGAGTATATATAGAAGAGACCCAAAAGATAAATTAGGTAGCTGTGGGCTTCCTGAAGAAAACTGTTTCTAAGCCAAAATACAGGAATAAAGGAAGACATAACTCAAGTCTCTGAGGAAGAGTAGCAAAGTGTGCAAAAGCCTAAAGAAGGGAAAGAAAAGGCACATTGAGAAAATGAGACCTGTTCACTATGCTTGCAGCATAAAAAGTAAGATTGAAATGGTGAGAAATTAAACTGGTAGAGCCAAGATCATGGAATATAAGGAATTGGACTCAATCCTGAGGACAGTGAAGAAAATTATGATTTTATATATAGAAGATCACTCTTATTACTGTGTAGAGAATGTAGTAGAAGGAAAATGCAGGAGAGAGGAGTTCTGTGTGATATGAGTTATATAGACCTCCAGTAGTGGTAGTAAAGTTAGAAAGGTCAATAGATTCCAGAGACCTGAGAAGACAAGCCCTGTGTTGATGCCATGATTAAAGGTCTCAGCTACTAACTGAAAGGTCAGTGATTCAAATCCAACAATTAGAAAGACATGATAGTCTGCATCATAATGACTTACAGCCTTCCAAACCCAATGGGGCAGTTGTGTTGTTTCCTACAGGTCACACTAACTTAGTGGCAGTGAGTTTTTAATTTACTAAGAAAACAGAATGTAAAGAACGTAATGGTCACATGTGAGAAATGAAGGAACAGGAGAAAATATTAGTGATTCTCAGCTTTCTAGAATTCAGGCAACTGAATGTACATTATTGTCATTCTTGACTTAGATTGGAAGCTTAAGTTTATTGATTTGGGCACATTTATTCATTCAAGAAGAAAAAATTTAAAACCTGTATACTAGGGACTGTTATAGACATCTAGAATATTACTGTGAGTGAATAATTATTTGAAAAATCTCTATATTTATGGAGCTTTCTGTGGGTTATGGTGAAAGACAGTAAACAAAATAAGTAAAGGACAGCACATGTTAGAAAATTATGAGTGCCAAACAATAAAACGGGATGAGTGGGAGCTAATGAAGCATGGGTGTGGGTATTAAATTGTATATAGGAGAAACTGGGTAGAGTGTACCAAGATGACTTCTCAGTAAAGACTACAGAAAGTGAGGAGGTATACCTATACAGATGCATGCAAAGAAACAGAAGAATAAGTGTTCAAAAAATGATAGGTTAGTTTGCTTAAAGCAGAGTGGGAAGCTCAGATAACAGATAAAATCAGATAAGGATTTATATTCAAAGTCAGCTAAGAAATGGGCATTTATTCTGAGTAAAACCATTGGAAAAGGAATGTTGAAGGATTTTGAACACAAAAGTGCCAAGTTCTGACTTACGTTCTAACAGAATTATTCTGAATGGTAGGTTGAGAGTAGTCTAATTTTACATAAGAGCAAAAGCAATGAAACCACTTATAAGGATTTTAAAATAATCTAGGTGCATGAGAATCATGGCTTGGGCTTAAGGTGATTGTATAAAGTGTAGTAGAAAGAAATGTTCTAATTCTGATATTTCTTGAATGTAAAAATAATGCAGTTTGCTGATGGACTGGATATGGGGTGTACATGATAGGAAAGAATCAAAGATTTTGACCTAAGCAATTGGGAGAATATAATTACCATTTATAAAGGAAGACTGCAAACATTTCTGTTTGAGACATCCAATTGGGCAATATGAAGTAGACAGTAGTTTAGACAAGCCTTGACTTTTTAAAGAGCTGGATGTAAAACCCTGGGAGTGTTTAGCTTTCACAAAGGATGTAAAGCTGTGGGACAATTGGAGATCACTTAATAAATGCATATAGATAACAAGAAAATCCAATCTTTACAAGTTGGGTGATAGAACTAACCAAATGGATAAAAATCATTACAAATGATAAGGAAGCAAACAGGCTTATTTGCTGGTCTAACAGCCAAGTGAAGAAAGTATAGCAAATCTAATACAGTAATATAGAGTGTGAATCAATAAGATAAATACTGATCATTGAGATTCATGGTATGAGTGACATTGGTGACGTTTATAAGAAGAATTTGAATGAAATAGTAGAATCAAAACACCCCAAAGCAAGATGACGAGAGAATTGTAGGAGAGCAATTGCAGACAGAGATCATAGGCAAAACTATTTGGAGTGGTTTACTGAGGGAAGAAGTCCAAGGTGTAATGAAGGCATTCATGAAAAAGAAGGCTCCAGGAGTTGGCAAAACACCAATTGAAAATTTTCGGCAATCAGATGCAGCAATGGAAACACTCACTAGTCTGTGCCAAGAAATTTGGAAGACAGCTACCTGGCCACCTGACTGAAAAAGATCGATATTTGTGCTCATTCTAAAGAAAGGTGACCCAATGGGAATGAAAAAAAAAATCCAATAAAATAAGTAATAGCATATTCAAGTAAAATGTAGCTGAAGATCATTTACAACCATGGCAACAGTATATCCACAAGGAGCTGCCAGAAATTTAAGCCAACTTCAAAGAAGGACATTGCAGAAGGGATATCATTGCTGCTGTCACATGGATCTTGGAAAGCAGAGGATACCAGAGAGATGTTTAGTTGTATTTTATTGACAATGTAAACAACAATATAGTTTGATTCTATCAAACTATAAATAATAGTGAGAAGAACGGGAATCCCAGAACACTTAATTGTGAAACCGATATATAGACTAAGAGGCAGTCATTCAAGCAGAACAAGGGAATACTACATGGTTTAAAATCAGAAACCATGTGCATCAAGGTTGAACCATTTCACCATACTCAGTCTATATGCTGAGCTAATAATCTAAGAAGTTAGACTATGTGAAGAAGAATATAACATTAGGATTGTTGGAAGGCTTATTAACTACTGGTGATATGCAGGATACACTACCTTGTTTCTAATGTAAAGAAAACAAATCCTCACAAATGGAAGAATAGACATCCTGATAAACGGAAAATCAAGGGTTTTACTTTACTTGAGTTCACAGTCAACACTCAGGAGACTGTAATCAAAAATCAAATGCTGTATTACATTGAACAGATCTGCTACATACAACCTTGTGAAAGTGTTGAAGAGCAAGCATGTCTCTGAGAGGACTAACGTGAGATAAGCCTGACCCAAGTCAGGGTGTTTTTAATCACCTCATAGACATGTGGAATTGAAAGAAGAAGAAAGACCAAACAAGAATAGATACATTTGCATTATGGTGTTGGCACAAATATTGAAAGTACATGGGCTGGCAGAAGAACACACAAACTTGTCTTGGAAGAGATACAGCCAGAATTCTCCGTAGAAGTAAGGATCATAAAATTCATCTCAATGTAGTTTGTACATATTATCAGAAGAGACTAGTCTTAGGAAAAAGACATCATACTTAGTAAAGTAGAGGGCCCGCAAAATAGAGAAAGACCCTCAACTAGTTGGATTGACATAGTGTATGCAACAATGGGCTCAAAAGTAACAATCGTTTTTAGGGTAGTACAGGGCTGGGAGGTGTTTTGTTATGTTATTCACCGGGTAATGAGTTGGAATCTACTTGAGGGCCCCTAACAATAATGTTGTTAAGGTAAGCAGTGAAATGGAGTGGTAGCTGGAGGAGAAAGTATTTTTAAAATCTTGTTTTTGTTTTGAATGGGAGAAATATCAACATGCTTGTAATTTTATAGAAATCACTTGATAAGTAATTCAGAAAAAAATGGAGAGACTGGCTAGAGAAATGTATTTACACAAGTGCCTTCCCCAATTCTTTGTTTTTTACATACAGTAGGAGAGTAGAGTAGAAGAAAACATAGTGTTTAGGCACAGCTTACAGGTGAAGGTAGCTAGGATGGAAGGTGGGGTTCTGTTCATATGTTTAGCTTTCCTTTTGAGTTGGCCGTAGTTACTTGGAGACTTCCTTATAGTGTTATCAAGCGAGCAGTCTGAAGCCCAGCAAACTCTCAAATGTAGATTCAAAAGTTCTCAGCCTACAAGGTAATTTAAACAAAGGTGTAGTGAAAGGAGAGATGAACACAGCACTTGAGACAGAATATTGAGAAGTATTGATATTTATGAGCAAGGTAAGAGTTCACGAAGCAGGTGACAATTAGCCAGAGTTATAGACTGAAAATCAGGAGAATGTAGTGTGTCTCTGCAGCCAAGGCAAGACAGCATTGCTTTCAAGAGGAAGGGAATAGTCAACATTGTATAGATACATCAGTTTTTCTCTAGTGTCCAGCTTTTGCATGCATGTGGCTCAGCTTAGTCCTCAAATGATTTCTTGCGACAAATTTGCCCAATGCAATGTGCCATTTAGCGTATATATTCGAGTACAAGCCAACCTGAGTATTAGCTGAGGCACCTAATTTTACCACAAAAACTGGATTAGAAATATGCTGGAAAATGGCTCATACATGAGTATACACGGTAAAGTCTTAACTACGGCTGCCATAAGGATTGATTGTAAAGCTAAGTAAGTGAATCCTTGACAACTTCTGTCTTTTCTCCCTTTCTCATGATGTTCTTTATTGGTCTAGTTTGGCAGGTTTTTGTTTTCTTTGCATTGATCTGCAATCCTTAGTAGATAATGCAGACTCAGATCATTAGCAAGTGGCTCCAGTCCTCCTTACTTTCAGCAAGCAAGGTTGTATCACCTGCATATTGAAAATGTTTAATGAGTCTTCCTCAAATCCTGATGCCACTTTCTTCTTCATATAGTCCGGTTTCTTCAGTTATTTGCTCATCATACAGCTTGAATAAGTATGGCGAAAGCATACAGCCTTGCAGTTGCTTGATTTTAAGCCAAGCAATATTCCCTTGTTCTGTTCAAACGACTGCCTCTTGGTCCATGTACAGGTTCTGAATGGGCACAAGTATGTGTTCTGGAATCCCATTTCTTCTCAAAGTTATTTACAGTTTGTTTTGATCCACACAGTTTAATGCCTTTGCATAGTCAATAAAATACAAGAAACATCTTTCTGGTTTTCTCTGCTTACCAAGATCCATTTAACATCAGCCATGATATCGCTCATCCCATATCCTCTTCTGAATCTGGCTTAAATTTCTGGCAGTTTCCTGTTAATGTCCTGTTGTTGTAATTTTTAAATTATCTTCAGAAAAATTTTGCTTGTATCTAACAATATTAATGGTACTGTTAGATAATTTTTGCACTGTGTTAGTCTGGGTTGACTAGAGAAACAAATTCATGAACACTCATGTGTATAAGAAAGAGCTTTATATATAAGAGCAATTGATTATTGAGAAAACATCCCAGACCAGTCCAGATCAAGTCCATAAATCCAATATTAGCCCATATGTCCGATACCAATCTATAAATTCCTCTTCAGACTCACACAACACATGCAAATGACACTGAATGCAGGAAGATCACAGGCCAGTGGGTGGAAAGTCTTGTGGATCCAGTGGCAGTGGAAACATCTCAGCGCTGGCAGGTATCTCCATGTGCCTCCTTCAGCTCCAGGGCTATAGCGTAGTTCCATGTATCTTCTCAACAGGAATGTCTTGCAGGGAGTGAATGTGTGTCGCCACCTCCAGCAAGCTATGTATCTCCTTAGTGCTTCCAAATGCGGTCATCAAGCTGTGACCTGATTGACAGGCTAACGTCCACCCCTTCACTCATAATAGTCTCAAATTGACAACAGATTATGTAACTAGCACAGTCACGTTTCTTTAGATTGGGCACAAATATATCCATATTGTGCCCATATATCCAAACATATTCATATCTAATTGGCAAAGTAGCTGTCTTCTAAATTCCTTGGCATACACTAGTGAGTGTTTACATTGCTGCATCAGTTTGTTAAAATTTTTCAATTGGTATTTTACCAATTCCTGAAGCCTTTTAACTAATCCCTTCAGTACAGTTTGTACTTCCTTCTTCAATACCATCAGCTCTTGATTATATGCTACTTCCTGAAATGATTGAATGTCAACCAATTCTTTTTGGTACAGTGACTGTATTCTTTTCATTTTCTGATAGTTCCTGTGTTGTCCAATATTTAACCCATAGAATCCTTCACTATTGCAATTTGAGGCTTGAACTTTTTCTTCAGTTCTTGCTATTTGAGGTATGCTGAACATATTCTTCCCTTTTGTCTTGCTAACTGAGGGTCTTGGCATATTTCATTATAATAGTTTGTGTTGTCCAGTTGCCCTTTGACATTTTCTGTTTAGCTCTTTTAGTACAGCATTTCTTATATTCGCTTTAGATACTCTACATTGAAAAGCATGATTTGGAGTCTATTGATGTTCACTTAGTTTTATTATTTATTTTTGCAAACTAATTTTTATTATTAAATATAATTTATAAGTTCTCTTTTAAAAGTAGATTTGTATAAGGGAAAGAAAGTTAAAGGGGTAATTGATAATGAAAATGTTGGGAGCCACTGTGTATATTTTTTCTAAGATTGTCGTGTTTATATCAGTATTAGCACAGCATCCGTGAGCAAACAGGAACTACCCATTCAAAGAATCCAATCCTGTTAAGGCACTATAATTATAGTAGAAGAATAATAGTCATTTAGCAATCACTTGTAATGTCTGATCCTGGATGTATCAATTTTCTATTAAATTATCAAAGGAGATTCAGAAAACACAAAGTGAAACTTAAAATTGAAAGGCCAGTTTGTTTATTGTGTGAATCATTTTTTCATTTATTTAATTAATAGCATCTGAGTTTTCTCTATGTCCCAGACTATGTGTGTATGTTCAGTATGCTGTGATTTGCTTCTTTGTCATCCAAGCGGATGGCTTGAAACCAAAAATCTTTTCTGACCAATGTAGCTTTCAGTTTTCTTAAAACTTCTTCACAGTAAGTCCCCGTGATTGTCCTATGTCCTTCAAAAAATGCTATCAAGATTATCACTTTGGCATCCAAAAATAAAGTTGACATAACTTTCTGAACTGATTGATCTCTCTGCCTTAGATCCTCTTGCAAGTCACTGTTTTATTTGGATCTTATTTTTGAAGACATCTTATTGAGACTAAGACAAGTACATTACAGGAGAACTTGCCTACAGGTGCCACTGACATTCTGTTTGGAATAAACCTGTGCATATATGAACTGGAATGCTAGGTTCAACGCTTCTTTATATGCCCTGGCCTCAGCAGGGATCGCCACCTGCAGATAATGGCAGGTGACTGGGCAGTACTGACAACAATTGGCATTAGCATACCTGCTTGGAAGCAACTACTCCATGAAATTAATGAAAGATTTTATACAAAGGAAGGTCTTTACTGTGTAGGAAGCAAGGATAGAATAGAATAAGGCTGCAAAGAAGGTTCAGTAGAATATGAGGACTCAAGTCCATGGCCTCAACTATTTCAGAGGTTAACCTTTCCTCGGGAGCCCTCTCATTCCTAGTCACATCTTTCTATTAGCATAAGAGATTGTGTCAGTGTTGTACAAGTCCCTGTAATGCACCTCTCAATGTGATGCAATGAGAAGAGCATACGTGCTCTTTATTCCAGCCAAGAATGGATTGCGTAATTCTAGTAGTAAAAGTTGGGTCAACACAGATTGAGAGTCATGTTGTACTTTTTAAAGACCTGTACTCTTTAAAACTGCTAAAGGCATTACAGGTAGGGACGCCTATGGAACTATTTTGATCAAAGGAACTTAAGGAAACATGTCTATTAAATGGTGGCAATTGGCAAAACTTGAATTGAGTTCATGAATTTAGATATTCTAGAAATTATTTTTGTGATTTGGAAGTATACTGGTTGTATCAAAAGGTGTCCTTGACTCAGAAATATAGAGTAAAATATTCAAGAATAATTGGGCATCATATCTACAACTTCTTCTCATTCAGAAAGACTAATGATAATAGATATATATAAAGAGAGGGTGATGGAGCAAATGTATAAAATGTTTACAACTGCTGAAAATGTACAGGAATTCTTTATATTATTCTTGTATTTTATAAAATTGAGATTATTTTGAAAAATATTTTTAAATATTTAAATTCAGATATAAATTAACTTCTAACTATGAACAACAAGTTTGCAACAATAACCTTTTAAATCATATTAGTAGGAAGTGAGTGACTGGTGCAATCTTTAAAAACAGACCCAATATTTTGTGTTTTCTGGGAATACTGTGCTGCAAATACACAAAGTTCCTAACTTGGTCTCAGAATAACATATCTTTAGCTAAAACACAAGGAATGTGAAACAAGTAGCAATTATTGTCTTTATTTAAATAGCTTATTTCATTAACCTTGAGGAAGCCTTCTCTGGGTATACTCTCTAAATTAGCCACCTTCTCCTAGATCGGGTCTAAGACAATACCATATTTCACTTTCTTTGTAAAATTATTATCACAAGTTACTTCATTTACTTGTGTTCCTTTTCCCGTCTGTCTCCATCTACTGGAATGTGTAATCTATAAGATCAGGACCTGCCCTTAGTGCCTAGAACAATTCTTTGGAATATTATAGGATTCAATAAACATGTCGTAAATGAATGAGTGCATGAAGCAGCAGTAGCATGATGACCTGTTTTCCAGGTCATTGCATCATGCTGACCAGCCACCTGTCATATTGATTGTATGTGACTGGTGCTCCAGAAACTCCGCCTGACATCTCGTTGTTGCTGTTGCTGGGTGAGGTTCCCGTCCAGTCCGACCCACAGGAACGCAGAGGACGAAGTCGGACTGATCCATAATAATGTGCTTTCTGCAAGCTTTATGTGAATAAATTCAGCAGAACCGCTGAAAGGGTTCAAAACAACAACCTTTAGCAGCCAAATGCTTAACCATTGTGCCATCAGGGCTCCTACTTATTGCATAATAGTGATTGCAAAAATAATTTCTTTCAAGTTTCTGTTAACTTTTATTAATTATTTTCCTTTTGTTTGAATTGTGTTAGTCAAAGTGAAAGGGAAGAATTTGAAAATGAGTTCAAGCAACAGTATGAACGAGAAAAAGTGTTACTAACTGAAGAAAATAAAAAGCTGACAAGTGAGCTTGATAAGGTAATTCAATCTTTATATTAATTGAGCTTATGCTACTAGAGGAATTGTGAGTCTACTCTTATAATTAATGTACATTTTTGGTTTAATAGTTCTTACTAAAATTACTTGTACTTAATAGTGCTTACTAAGATTTTTGGGAAATAGAGTTTTGCTTATCTCATCTTAACTCTATCCCATTTATTTTATAGAACATGTGTTTTACTTCTTATCTTTTCTTATTCTTCTCTCATGCTCATTACATATTCTGTCATGACTTTCTAAGTTCAGTAAAATTGAAATTAGAGTGGCTGGCACTTGGCAAGAGAAGGCTAACTGTGGCGGAATTGTGACAACTGTAATGGCATATTTATCATGGGCACCAGCTAATAGTAGAAAGATACCACTGGTATCTGTCAGATACCAATTCAGCTTGAACTGTAATTTGAATAAAAGGAGAACCAATGACTAAACTTATAATTAGCCAAATTTATGAGCAAATTTTCAAATACGGTATTTCTTTCCACTTAGTGCCAGATTTTTCAAACTGCCATTGTTGCCAATTCTTAATATACAGCTGTAAAACTCCTAATATTAACCAGAGGTTGTTGTTTTGGTTTTTATTTTTAACCTTTATTGTGTATTGAGTAAAAATTTACAGAGAAGATCAGTTTTCCGTTCAACAGTTCAATCAAATTTTGTTTCATACCTGATTGCCCTCTGCACAATGTAACATCACTTACCCCACTTCTTCTTTGTATTCCCTGTTTTCATTCCTCTCTTCCTAAGCCTCGTGAATTTTGTCCATGCATAAATGCTACTTTTTTTATCACAAAATAGCTGACTATTCTACGTAAGTGCATACCTCACTAGTATTATTGTTCCCCTTATGGTCTTGTTTATTATGTGCTGAGGGTGAGTTCAGTTCCATACCTGCAGGGGAACTAAGGGCCTCGTCTCAGTGGTTTCACCATTCTGACCAGTGAGCCTGGTCTTTTTTTTTTTTTTTTTATTGATAAGATATTTTTATTTCAGTTTGGAAAAACTAATATTTTATTGTGTTTTTGGTGGACGTTTGCACACTATGCTA